TAAAAATAGATGAACCTTCAGGTGGTGTGAAGTAGAATAGGAATTCCTTTTACAGCACCTGACATGACACCACTAATAGCAGTAGAACCGGAACCAGACCCAAGGAGCAGGTGCTGCAAGCGAGTTGGCCTAAAATACCCTCAACCACCATGTTCACTCAAGATGGGTTCGAGCTGCAACCATGTTGATGGGGCTCGGAAGAAAACCTCTACTAGAGGAGATGATGTGGTAAAAATAGTTGTGAGGAGTCATGTGGGCGAGGGTTGAAGTGCTAGAGATGCCTTCATCTCTTCGGCTCTTGGAGGAGAAGGGAAAGGGAAAAGAGCCGAAGGGAAAGGGAAATGGTCTTTGAACGAGGGAAAGTGAGAGAAAGGAAAGAGAAAGTGAAAGAGGAATCAGTGTATGTGATTGTTATAGAAGGGATTAAGAAAGAGAAAAAAAAAATTAGAATTTGTGCCAGATGATCTCTCCGCCCTGAGCGAAGAGGAGAGATGTCTCTGCGCGCAGCGCAGAGAGATGTTTCTCTGCGCTGCGTGGAGGTGCCTAGTATATATATTAATATATTTTTTATTTTTTTTTGCGCAGAGATGCCAATATATATATTAAATGCACGATATTAGTTTATATATATTAAATTTTATTTTAATGCCATATATATATTTTTATAGACGTTGCGTGAAGGAATGGAGAAAAGTAGGAAAAATAGTATAACAATTTATAAATCATATAAATTATAAAGTGATAATAATTTTATTAGGAATTTTTACGTATAAAAAAAATAATTAACATCATACACATAATTTTTTTTAAGAAAATAATGTAAATTACTGTTGAGAAAAGTATTGCGGAAAAATAATAAACATTAATAAAATGAATGATTTTTTTTTTAAAAAGGACGAGTTATACGTATTTTTGAATACACATGTTTGATGTACGTTTAACTTTTTTCGATATTCATTTAGATCATTCGATATATTTATGAAATAGTTCTCGAAATGAACTTCGAGAGAATACAAAAAACTTATGGATTCCACTACCGCACAATCGTTGATAAATTTTTAAAGTTAGCTTGTTATTGATTTTTTTTTAAATGATGTCCTTTTTTACACTAAAAATAATTTAAAAGTTTATTAGGAAATTTTCTAAATGATGTCAAAAATTTTATTAGATTATTTAAAAAATTAATTTTATAGTAGTAGTGATATATTAATTAAGTTAAAAAATAAAAATAGTATTGAAGGATAAAATGAAAATACTTCACAAATGAACAATAAGGAGTAAATTTAACCAATAATCACTGAACTTTACACTTGATTACTACTTGCTCACTTATCTTTCACATATTACTGAATGCTCACTCATCTTTTCATATAATTACTCATTCATCACTCGCCTCTTCAAATAATTGGGCGACTTTTACGGCAAATTTTCGACAACTCCGACCACAAAAAATGTCGAATTTTGATACCGTTGGAAAGCCCACGATGTCCTCTTCAATTACCACCCAAAATCTCATTATAACTCCAAGGGATTCGACCGAAAAATTGCCTTAAAAGTTGCCCAAAATTTTTGAAAAACTGCCCAGATTTTCAGATTTTTTGACGACTTTTAAGGCAATTTTTCGGCAACTTTCGACCATCAAAACTATCGAATTTTGATACCATTGGAAAGTCCACAATGTCATCTTCAATTACCATCCAAAATTTTCCTATAACTCCAAAGGGTTCGATCGGAATAAATCCACAAAATCAGCATCTTGAAAAGGCGAAAATCTGGACAAAGTTCGAGATGCTGACTTTGTGAGTTTATTCCGATCGAATCCTTTGGAGTTATCGGGAAATTTTGGATGGTAATTGAAGAGGACATTGTGGGCTTTCCAATGGTATCAAAATTAGATAGTTTTGATGGTCGAAAGTTGCCGAAAAATTGCCTTAAAAGTCGTCCAAAAAATCTGAAAATCTGGGCAGATTTTCAGAATTTTTGGGCGACTTTTAAGGAAATTTTTCGATCGAATCCCTTGGAGTTATAATGAGATTTTGGATGGTAATTGAAGAGGACATCGTGGGCTTTCCAACGGTATCAAAATTCGACATTTTTTGTGGTCAGAAGTTGTTGAAAATTTGCCGTAAAAGTCGCCCAATTATTTGAAGAGACGAGTGATGAATGAGTAATTATATGAAAAGATGAGTGAGCATTCAGTAATATGTGAAAGATGAGTGAGCAAGTAGTAATCAAGTGTAAAGTTCAGTGATTATTGGTTAAATTTACTCGAACAATAAGCCCCTGTTTGATTATCATTAAATTAAATTACATTACATTCCATTTTTCTCTCTCCTATTTTCAACCATACAATCTTCCATAAAATAATATTACACGTAAATCGAAAACTTTACCTTCTTTTTCAACCACTCATTTTTCTAAAAAATACTATTCCCCCCATTACCATTTACAAGTAATGGGGGCCAAACATGGGCTAAATAGCATATTCTTAGAGTGTAGGAAAAAAATATGGGCATCTCTCCAGAGAGATGAAGGAACGGAGAAAAATAGTATATATATATTTTTATAGATATTGCGTAAATGAATGAAGAAAAATAGGAAAAATATATAGAAAAAACTACTATTTTGCAGCAATTTTTGACCTTTTGAACAGGTAAATTAAAGACTTTGATGAAAATACCATGATATCCCTAAATTTTTTAAATTTTACACCATCATAAGGATATTTTGGACATTTCAAGCACTTTTTGACTGACAGCTGTAGCTGTTATCCCCTTCTCTTGCCACTAAATTTTGCAGATGTGAGCCCATTAAAGTTGTGCAAGGGTAAAAAATTTCACAAAAATTTGGTTGGAATGACTATGCCCAAGTCTCTTGTTGTTTTCTTTGAGGAAAGAGGGATTGCGAAAATATTTGAGGGTAAAATGGGAAAGTAAAATATATATATATATATATATATATATATATATCCACTTCTAAAAAGGTAATTTTATTATATTTTTAATCTTACTCAATTTTACCTTAATAGACATATATAAAAATGAAATAAAAATACATCGTTCTAAATTCAATCACTAGTGTGTGCGTATTAATTTGAAGCTTTTTATATTCTTTTAGAATTTGTGTTTAACTAATAAGTATAGGTTTAATAGAAGAAAGCATATAAGAAATTTCCACCCAAATATTCTTACATTACAAACGGAAATGAACCTAAAATTACCAACGAAAACACAAATAGCCAAATTTATTAGCTTATAAGCAAAAAATAATAATTGATTTATATATGATTCAAGGAGGGATTTGTTTGGTTGCGTGAGCAATGTACTCTTGAGAAAATCCAATAAATTCAGGAAAATAGATTCGTCAACATTTGCAACTAAATATTAAAGCACCGAAATGGCAATATAAAAATTGAAAAGTAAGAATCAAATTAGATTTTGATAGCGACTGGATGAATATATTGATTTTTCAAAATTTGAAATTGTATTAGAGACGTATTTAGAGTGTAATGAATGTATAAATATTTACGTGAATTTATAACGTTTAAATGAATGAATTTAATAAGAGCGGTAATGAAATTTGATGTGAATGAAAATAGTAATTTTTTAAAATTTTTAATAGGGATGAATGTAGAGTGGGATGAATATATAAAAACCGTGAATGAAAAAAGGAATTAATAGCATGCAATATACCCCTATCTATTGAAAATCGCAAAAACCTCCCCTGTTTGAAACATTTCATTTGAAAAACCCCATTCCGTCAAGATTTGTTAAATTTAACCATTAGAAACAGTAAAAAAATGCCAAAGTTAAAAAGAAATGATTGAAATTTCAGCACCTCATTTTTTTTATAACAAATTATACCCAAATTTTTTATACATGCCACCCACAATCTTTAATCCTTAAAAATTAATTTTCCACCCCCACCTTTCTCAACCTACTCCAAATCCCCCGACTTCATTTTTCCAAACCCACCCCAATTCATGAACTTTTTGTGAGTGGAGAGGATCTGGTCCAAATGACTACTAATAGTGAGATCAACAAAAATAAAAGGAGAAAATTCAGTAGCCCTGAATTTCAAATCCCAAGAAATTTCTCTTCCAGTCTCGAAGAAGACAACAATAATTTATTGGACCATTTATTGTCAGTTATTTGTTCTACTACTACTACTACTACTACTACTACTACTACTACTAGGTCACTTACATTGTTTGTTGTAACCCACCCTCCTTTGCCAGACGAGAAAGAAGTTTAAGAATGGATCGACTTGAAGCAAAACAGGAAGATGAATTCTGTCGTCTGCAACTCTACATGGATAAAGAATATTTGTTGGAGTACAAAAATCAACAACATTGGAGGTATATTACGTTATATTCCTTTCTTTTGTGATGTTTTCTCTTAACTGCAACATTTTTTCTTTTTCCATAATAGTTCTCTAATTTACATAAAATTATGCATTTTTAGTGAGTAATGAAGAAGGAATATGCAATGAGGCTACTTATTTCATTAATTTTATACTCATAAATCCTAAAAAGTTTCGTATCCTGTGCCGAATGAAGTGGATTGGAAAAGATGAGGTGGGGTGGGTGAAAAATAAAGTTTTAAAGATTAGATATTGTTGGTGGCACATATAAAAGATTTGGGCATAATTTGAGACAAAATGTTTCAAGCAAGGAATTTTTTTGCGATTTTCAGTATACATTAGGCTCCCGTTTGATCCCTATTAAATTCAAATCAATTACATTACATTTCATTTTTCTCTCTTCTATTTTTAACCACACAATCTTCTATAAAATAATATTACACGTAAATCGAAAATTTTTTCTTCCTTTTCAACCACTCATTTTTTAAAAAAATACTATTCCCCCCATTTTCATTTTCACGTAATGGGGGTAAAACGGGGGCCAGGTATATCGCAAATGAAAACATTTGTAGGTTCAATGGCGCCCTTTAGTTATATATATTAAATAAAATGTTGGGGAAAAAAAAAATACTAGGCACGTGATATCATCGTGCACTCTTCATATATAAAACTCACTTGCAACTTCTCACGCTAAAACCCTAGCAGTGGCTGCCGTCTTGCCTTCAAGGTTTTCTTCCTCTGCTTCACTCCTCCTGCGTTTCTCTTTCTCCGTTATGAATACGCACACACTGAGATTTATGTAGATTCACACTAATCTTAACTTATTCTTTTATTTCATTTTGAAGGTAAACAGTTAGAGTTTATTAGTGTATAGGGTTTCTTTGGTCCCAAATGGCTCCAGCTAAAGGTACATTTTTTCTTTCATTCGATATGAAGTTTCATAAATTATAGATCGTGTTGGACTTTTATTATTCTTTTTGCGCCTGTTTTTCTTATTAGCCCAGTCAGCGAAGAAATTATTGATTAGATTAATTTTTATGTAGTAAGCATTTTGTAAAGTTCGCTGTTTTGCTGCATAATTGTGATTTTAGTGATGTGAAACTTGATGCTTTACGGGGCAGGGACTTAATGAGGTTGGAGGATTTAATTTTAAAATGAAATGATTATGTGGGATACTTTTAACATTAACATAAATTATCGGAGTAATAGACTAATAGTCTCCTTTAGCTGTTGAAAAATAGATCATAAGAGTGAAGTGAATATCAAGAAATTACTAGTCCTCCATCTGGAAAGAATTTATAAATGGTTTGATTTTGTAAATAAATAGAAATATGTGATGGATAAGTAGATAGTACTTGCGGTAATGTGTTGTTGAAAATGCAGTTCGATCATTTATATATTGATTTATAAAGTTTGCCAAATGGAGGCTAGGTATCTGTTGGATGTTCTTATTATTCAGAATGTACTTGAGAGGGATTTTTGGTTAAGGTCACTCCAAGTCAAGAAACATAAAATTATTGTCTGTAATTTTCATTTGATTAAATGTTGAACTTCCTCAGATTTAAATACTCTTTTCTCATACCCCATTTACTTAGGGCATTCCTGTTGACTGTAGAAGAGTTTTATTCGTAATTCAGCTACGTGAGCATGCTTGGAATAGTCCCCCTTTTTTTTTCTGTAAATAGTTGCATAAAAGATTACAGACACCATGATGGATTGATAATTTGATTAAAATAGGAGGGAAATGTTTGAGGTACGGGTAGGGGTTCTGTAACCCCTACCCAACACTCACAACATGGGTGGGGTTTAGGGCATATTTTTGTACAAGCGGTTCCCACGCCGGACCCGCCCTTTGTGAGTGTGTGCAGGTGTTCTGTTCTGTACACACAGTATAATTGAAATAGGATACTTGCACTGTTCTTGCTTTTGTTATCTGTTTCAATAATACATTTCTTGGAGTTCTACACCTGCTCCATTCATTATGTTACTTAGTTTTGAATTTTAACACGTGTAGTTGATCAAACAAAGAAGTCTGACCCAAAGGCTCAGGCCTTGAAGACTGCTAAGGCTGTGAAATCAGGTTCAACGGTCATTAAGAAGAAGTCAAAGAAGATAATTACAAAAGTTACATTTCACCGACCCAAGACATTGAAGAAGGATAGAAATCCCAAGTACCCACGGATTAGTGCTCCTTCAAGGAATAAACTTGATCATTACCAGATTCTGAAATATCCCCTCACCACTGAATCTGCAATGAAGAAGATTGAAGATAACAACACCCTTGTTTTCATTGTTGACATTCGTGCTGACAAGAGAAAGATCAAGGATGCAGTCAAGAAAATGTATGACATCCAGACCAAGAAAGTCAATACTCTTATCAGGTAAAAAGGAATTCAACTGCTCTTTCTTTTTACTATCACTCGGCATTATTTTCTTTTGCCATTGTCTGTTTTTGCTGATAATCACTAGATATTAGATTGGTATTGAAGTTTCACATTTATTTTGACACATGTAATAGTATCATCTTGTTCTCCAATTCTCACTATTACATCTAAGGGTCCGTTTGATTGCAAAGATGGAATTGAATTGAATTGAATTGAAAACGAATTCTAGGAAATTGAATTGTCTAGAAATTGTTTTCCTAAGAATTGTAAATTATTGTGTTTGATTGGTATAATTTTCCACGTAAAAAATATTAAAATAAGTGTTTTTTGGGTGTTCGTTTGACTTTGTTTTACATGAAAATTGTCAATTAAATGGATAGATTTTATTGGTATTGGGAATGAAATTTGTTCTCATTGCCAACAAAACAAAAAAAAAAAAAAAAAAAAAAAAAAAAAACACAGGGAACTAGAAAACCAAGAAAATTTCAAGTTCCAAGAAAATCAAGAAACCAAATTTCATGGAGTTCAAAACCTATCGAACAAACAAAATTGGAAGAAAGTGAAATTAGAATTCCATTTTCCATGGAATTTAAACCAATCAAACATAGCCTAATTGACATATATTCATCATGGGTTTATGTACACTGAATTAAATACATTACTGTGCAGCTTTTAAATGCAAGTCTAACTATATTATAGATGAGTACAACTGATTAGCATATCACCATGTGACGGCATTGGCACTCACTTCATGCATGTATTTTTATTAGCTTGCCCTGCCTTGTGCAAATGGAGACATTCACTGGTCGCAATCTCAGATGCTTATTAATTTTTGGTGCGACTGACTGCATCTTTATGTTATCTCCTGTTTCAGGCCAGATGGGACCAAGAAGGCATATGTTAGGTTAACACCTGATTATGATGCTCTTGATGTTGCAAACAAAATTGGGATCATCTAAGTGATTGGCTCTTCAGTTTTGAGGTCATGCTTGGAAGGATTGGACTTTTAGGCATTCAGGCTTTTTGTAGAACCAAATTCATTTTTGTTTTCCATTTTGATGTTCAAAGATATGGTTTATTGCTAAGTAATATTAGACCTGGGTATCTTGTATAACCTAAAATTTTGTTTGTTGGCTTGCATTTATGGTTTCCCATTCATTTTCCTCATCTATCGTTCTCGGTCTTTGTTTAACAGAACTTGATTTGTCTAAGATAAAATGAAATATGATTTTGGTAGCTGGAAATGTTGCATTAAAAGATTATTTTGCTGATCAATTTGTTCCTAACAAAATTACAATTTACTGAACTTCAATGTGCTGCAATAGGTTGGCTAAATTCAAAAATTTCTGCTGGAAGTGTATCTTGACTATCCATTAAACGTTCAATGAAAAACCTCAGAACCCTGTAAATCTCATCCCTTTCTCCATGTCTCTCGTCTCCTGTAACGAACACATGAACCTTGCTTTTAATTTCAATCCAACTGCATCCGGGAATCCTCCGTAGTCCCCTCTCCCTCATCTCTTCCCTAACCTTCAATACGCTATTCCATCTTCCAGCAGCAGAATGTGCATTTGAAATCATTACGTATGATGAAACATCTCCAGGATCCAATTCCAAGATTTTCCGGGCTGCAAATTCCCCGAGTTCCAGGTTTGAATGGATCTGGCAGCCTCCCAGCAATGCTTTCCAAAATCCAATTCCAGGCTCAAAAGGCAAATCATCGATAAATTTCTCTGCTTCTTGAAACCTCCCAGAACGAGACAGTAAATCAACAACACTTGCATAGTGCTCAGCTTTTACCTGGCTGGGATCCTCAAGTCTTGCCTGATTGAAGTATTTATAACCTTCATCAATCAGGCCGACGTGATTACAAGCCAAGAGTAAACCAAGAAGGGTAACATCATTTGGTTGAACGCCCGACAACTTCATCTTCTTGTACATTTCTAATGCTTCGTTTCCTTTTCCATTCTGCGCATAGCCACAAATTATAGCATTCCAGGAAACAACATTTCTTGTCAGCAATTTATTGAATACCAAAAGACTATTTTCCATGCTTCCACATTTTGCATAGAAACTTATCAAAGAATTTGCAAGAAACAAATCAAGCCCTCCAAAGAATTTTACTGCACAAGCATGAAAACTCATCCCCATGCCGAGTGCTCCAATGTTAGCTGCTGCAATCATGGCACAAGGAAAGGTACAATCACTAGGCATGACACCTTCTCTCAACATCTCAATAAAGAAATTTACTGCTGCTTCATTATGTCCTATTTGGCTACAACCACTGATCATATTATTCCAAGAAACAACATTTCTCTCTGGCATCGACCAAAAGATCCGAATAGCTTCATCTAATCGCCCTTCTTTAATATAACCACGAACCAAAGTTGTGTAAGAAACCACATTTGGTTCATACATATCCTCAAACGCCCTTTCGGCATCCCTAATTTTGCTGAACTTTACGTAGAGATCTAACACTGCACTACCCACAAAGACATTGGAATTAAGACCAATTTTTTTCGCGAAAGAGTGAACCTGCTGGCCTAAGTAGAGATCTTTTAAAAGAACACTGGAACGAGTTACAGTACCAAAAGTGTACTCATTCGGTCGAATATTTAAATGAAGCATTGTTGAGAACAAAGTCATTGCTTCTTTATGCTGGTTTTGTCTGGCGAAGTTGCCTATCAAAGCTGTCAATGATACAACATCTCGTCTAGACATTTCATCGAGCAGTTGAGGAGCGTCTGAGAACGCATTTGATTCAAAAGCTGATTTACAGGGTCCTGGTTCTCGAACATGTATGTGGATTCTTTGTATCACATGGGAATGATTGTGAAGTAGAGCGTAAAAATCTTTGATAAGACAATGTCTACATGTTGTGATTTTCATGTGTGCCGCCATGCCGGTGGCACAGGTAAGGGGAAACGGGTCCAAATCTTACGTAATATAGATCAAACAACAAATGTCCCCAACTCAAATCATTACATGTTCAAATTTTTATATATAAATTGGAGCTAAATTTAGTTCGTGTAAAATGAGGAAAACTTCGATTATATATACTGTTATTAAATCATAACACCACAGATCCTAAACCATTCATATCATTATACCACGACATCAAGACCTCGGACGCTTGAGACATCATCGATTCGATCGTATACAAATATGATTGTTATATTTAAGTGTTTATCGTGTAATATAACTTCACTCATCTAATAGAGGTCCGACATATTTAATTACATTGACTATTGTCAATTAGAGAAATGCCGCTAGGCCTAGGTCCGACCTAAACCACCATTACACCTTTGGTAACGTATTTTTCATTAATTCTCCAATTTGTCTATTATTCGTCCGTATCTTCTAAACAAAAAAAATTTGAAGAGGATAGCATGTAGAAATACACGTTGAGACAATAACAAATATATATTGGGAGTAGTAAAATTAAGTACTAAAGATAAAGAGGTCGTTGGAGCATTTAAAAATTTTTACTCACTAAATTTATAGATACCCTTTAAACTACAAAATGTTCTTTAAAAATAGAGCTACTTGGAGATATTGTTAAACATGCATAGGAAGTGTTTATAAATCATTTAAAATATAAATATATAGAAATAAATGGTGGATAAGACCACGTTTGAGATTGATTTTAGAGCCAAATTTCTTATTATTAAACAATCAAAAGTATTTTTTAGCATTTGATAAATTCTAACATTATTTACGAAAGAATTGAACTATCTGATAGCAGGTCTTGAGAAGAGTAAAAAATTGCAGATTTTTAGATTATGCTTTTATTCTCCAATTAGCTATAATTAAATAATCAATTTAAAACTAGTTAATTAAATTAATTCCTTTTCAGTTATATGGGCTATGTTTTTTATTTTATAATATATATGTTGACACACTAAAAGTGCAGCTCAAATCGAATAGTCCAAAGAATGAAGTCCAACTGGACAATTCAGGATAAAGACTCAAATATGATTATTAATGAATGTAGTGGAAGCCCACGACCGCGATAACACCATCGCCCAAACTTGCAAGACGCCCAAGTTCTGAGCGAATGAAGTGCCTTGCAGTCACCCAGAGTTATAATCCAGTTCTCGCCCAAACCTTCGAATCGCCCAGGATCTTAGCAAACATAAGGTATTATGATTATCCAAAAGTACAGTTATCGAAGCAGTTATTGGGTAATCTTATTACGTTCCACGATTCAAGAAATTCAGTTGAAGACGGTTAAACGACAAAGAGTAGTGGTAGCATTTAGAGACGGCAGTTCCACGATAAGTTGGCCACGATGAAGAAAATGGGCAGTTATAAAGCAATTAAGCAGTTTCTGAGTGGTTGATCACAAAGAGAGTATCAAGGGAATATAAAAGGAAGAAAAGACATAGAGCAAAAGAATCCCGAATCAAACACTCTCAAACAGAGAATATGTAATTTTAATTTCTTAGTTTAGACTTAAATATTTCTTTCAGTACTCGTGTGCTTGCGCCCCTTGGAGGCATTCTGTTTAAGTTCCAATTGTAAAGTCATTGCCAATAAAACACCCCTTTTTGGGACTTTGTCTCAAAAGGTTTGTCCCTTACACAATCGTTTGATTCATTTTTAATTGTTAGCGACTACCCACACGAAACAATTTGGCACGCCCAGTGGGACCTTGGTGTTGAAGATACAAAAGGTGAAACAATATGTCTCAGAAATCCGATAAGGAAGCAGCAAGTCAGGGAGGAGTCCAATTTGTGATTGAGCGATATGAGAAGCAGCATAGCTCTCCATGAATAGATGGACAGAATCAGAGTAATCACAGTCGTTACGAACCAATGACAGAGTTGAGTCCTCAAACCAAGCATGCATTGCTCGAAGAACTCACACAAGATGTCGTTGAACAGGTAAATCTATGAAATATTCATGATATGAAAAGATTTACCCAGAATGGGAATGCACATTACGATAACATGGCCAAACAATTGAATACTTTGAATGAAATAATGAATAAGTTAGTAGGCCAAATTTGTCAACCAGTTGTGCCTCTTGCAAACCACTTTTAAACTAGGACAATTGTGAGACATAATCTCCCAGTCCTAAGTTCAAATCAAGGGATAGAACCACCTTTTGATCCCTCTACTTCAAACCAGGGAGGTGGTGCAATACCAAATCAGAATAGTGACATTGGTATATCTAACTTGGGGGGGTAATCAAAATGTAAGAGATAATGTCATAAATAATAGGCAGAATACCCCATGTGTTAATGAGGGAATAAATGTTCAGGCTAATGGTAACAATGGCCCAAATCATGGTAACTTTGTTGCCAATCAAGGAGGACCAGATGGCTTTTGGAGTACGTCCTATCATTATGCCAACTTACACAAAGCCATATCCTGATTGGGTACACCAAGCATATCCATGGCCTAGAGGGTATAAAGTGCCATAATTCTCACTGTTTACCGATTTAGAAGAGGTGTCTATTCTAAAACACATAGGGCGATTCACATTGCAAAGTGGTGACGTAACTGATTACCATAAAATGAGACTGTTCCCTAGTTCATTAATAGGAGTAGCCTTCTCCTGGTTAATCAATTTGCCAGCAAACTCTGTTCAAACATGGCAACAATTGGAGCAATTGTTCCACGCTCAATTTTATAAGACTAAGTCTGAAGTTACTTTGGTCGATTTGGCGAATCTACGTCAAATGCCAAACGAATGGGCAGAAGGTTTCCTTCAAAGGTTCAAAACAGCGAGAAGTAAATATTTTGTACCTTTGCCTGAAAAGGAGTTTGTCAAAATTGTTCAAGGTTGTCTAAACTTTGATTTGAAGAAGAAGTTCCAAGACAAGGAATTTCCTGATCTTTTCTAATTGAGCGCGAACGTGATTAGGTATAAACGATTAATAAGAGAGGAAGAATAAATGAAAAATTCTAGCAAAGGGACCTATTATAGAGACCCAAATTTTGATGTTCATACCATTAACGACGAGTATTATGATCAAACCGAAATGTGTTTGGCCGAATTAATTAAAGGAGACACATATACTTGTCCTATAATGGCTAAGCCTAGACCGTCAGGCAAGGATGAGCCTATAAAAGATGAAAACATAAAGGCTAGAACGTTCTCGTTCGATGTAACCAAAGCTGACCTTATATTTGATAAATTATATAAGGATAAGTAGATAAAGTTGAGCGACAAGCATAAATTTCCAAGCTCTGAACAAATTAAGGATAAAGAATATTGTAAGTGGCATAATGCATGGTCACATTTGACAAACAACTGCTTGGTTTTTCACCATGTGTTACAGGATGCCATTGAAAAATGACGAATTACGTTCGAGGATAAGAGGAAGATGGTAGTCAATGAAAATCCTTTTCCACAGCCACTTGGAGTGAACATGGTGACGTCTGGTTTCAAAAACAAGTTACCAAAGTTCAAGTTGGTTATAGATGATGGAGAAGAAGCCCTGGACTACATCCCTGTGTCTTTGAACGTATTAAAGGGAAGGAGCCCAAAAAGGACGAAGACGTCCAATGTGCAAGATGCAAAAAAGAAGTGAGTGCAAATGCAGAGAAACCAGCGATATGGCAGCATTACCATTGCCCTAGTTTTTCCCAAACGCTCAATCTGGTAGAGGGCAGGGTATATCGTTCTAGAAGGGACCACCTTTTGAGAGGCAGTTCAGGCCAGGAAATAATGGAAGAACATTCAGACCACAACCTCGCCAACCAAATGTATGGCATTCGTTCCAGTATAAGGCTGGAAGGACGATACCTTTCAACGAGATGACTAGAACCTAACAAAGGCGTTTTCAACGGAACTATGTGCGAATAATGAGACAACAACAGGGAATGCTACGCCTAAAGGCACCTAGACTACTCGAGACAACCAATCAAAATGTTCTCAAAGACAGTGAAGAGACTGGTACAGGCGAACCTATGGAAAAATTGCCAGAGACTTCTTCTAGGAGGTCGAAGTTTGAGCGAGACAGAAGGGATGGACAAGATCCAGATCAACCCTTTACTATTTAGTTTGGTACGTTGCCTCCTGTCGTGGCTAATAACTATTTACTAGCCAACGACTTCAAGAATAAAGAGAAGGGAGAAGAAGAAATGGAGGATAACGAAGATGAGACATGTATGCTGGAATATGAAGAAGGCCAAACTTCTAGAGAGACCTACAATAGTGAAGAAGATAATGGTATGACAAACATCGAAGAGGAAATCGATCTGGAGGCAAAAAGAAGAAGAAGAGGAGTATCGTACAATACTCTGTTGAAGCAACTGTATCGAAAGGGAGTTCGTGAAGTAGACTTATTGGGAGAACTATCTGGGCGTTCTTTCGATTTTTATGTGCTGTACGGGACGTCCAAAAGGAAGAAGTGAGTGCCTCGCTCTGAAAAGTATGGATCACCTCCAAGAATAATGCCTCCTTCCACAGGTTGGGTAATCGAAGAAGAAGCATTAGAAAACAGTAAAAGGGAAATTCAGGAGATAGAGGCTCAGTGCGATATGCTGCACGTTGACTTATCACAAAAGGGTAATTCGACAGAGGACAAGCAGGAAGTGGAAATAAATGCTGCCAAAAGGTTATTTTTAAGCAGCCAGCCATGCAATTGACCAAACACTTGAGGCCATTGTACGTTAAAGCTCTAGTTAACGGCATACCTGTGACAAAAGTGCTTGTCGATAATGGAGTAGCTATAAACACCATTCCATCTAGGATGATGAAGAAATTAGCAAAGACAGAAGGTGATATGATCCCAACGGAAGTCATCCTGACAAATTTCAATGGAGGAGCAACTTTAGTTAAAGGGGTTATGCTATTAGACATAACTATAGGAACAATTACTAGGACCACAGTCTTCTTTATAATAGATGGTCCCACTAGTTACAATGTGTTATTGGGAAGAGATTGGATACACGGGAGTCGCTGTATACCTTCATCGCTCCATCAGTGCCTAATTTTTTGGAATGACAAGGGCGAAGCAGAGGTGGTGCAAGCTGATGATAGGCCTTTTGTCGCAGAAGCAAACTCAGTGGAAATGTTCATGTATGAAGGAAATTATGGACCTGTCAGAGTAATCCAGGATGGAGAGAAAACTCAGATCGTCACA